ACTTCTCCTCCGATGGTTTTCCCGATAGCTCCACTGGTAATCGATGCAACGACTGCCAACTTGCCGAATCGATGTCGTAGTTTTGTTGCGGCTCGGATGGTGTCATTGCAGACACGTCGGATGACGAAGCATCTGAGATCCATGAAACTAGCCTTTCGAGCTCGTCTTCTAGTTCATGTGAGAGCGATGGTTTGTATACTCGTCCTCATCAATCAATGCAATGGCAGGATGCACTGATTGGCGGCGAAAATTGCGATGACTCTGATGGTGATAGGCTATATGAGAGCTGAAAGTTGCAGCCTGCCTCCTTTTCGATCAGATACTTCCAATACTTCCAATACTTCCAATATACATATAGCCAACATGGCCAGCGATCTGTCTGATGCCGAGAGCGCTCTGCAATAGATAGTCTTCGAGATTCAGGACAATAAACATGAACACACATTACTCTTCTTTATGAACATCATATTACACTGTTTCATGACGTGGACTATGACACTTGCGTGATCGTGTTGCCAGTGAGCTAATGTTAGTAACATCATGTTATTAATTCTCACGCAAAAAATGTGTAAATCTCAGATCAAAAATTACGTTCAGAAATCACTCATCAGTATTACTTGAAAGTAGAATACTAAACTAAGCATCACGTACCTGTTGCATAGCATAGCGCATTTGCCCGCAATACCATTGTTTGCTTAGCATTGTATAGATTGCATAGATTTAGTTTTTTTATGATGGATTAGTACATGTTGCATGGAATAGTTATGTTTTGCCGGTTTTCGTGGCTAACGGGGACTTGTGAAGTAGGCCTCAGTTTGCGTGATGTGACTGGGAATCCTACTACTCTCGTATTTAGTGTGACCTTCGCCACTTCCATTATCCTAGCGTTAGGAAGGCAGAATACTACAGCATTTTCCCGGTCATGTTTCCGACTTGCGCACTGTTATTTCCGACTAACTGCATGCGAACATCCGATGCGTCATAACAATTTCCGACCCGCACTCATTTATCCGACTCGGTCAAAAGCAATATCCGATATACCGCATGAAAATTTCCGACTAGGGTCATCCTAATATCCGCCCGATTCGTGCATCCCAAATATCCGACTGTCATTCAAATATCCGATAGCCTACATTCAAATATCCGCGGGCGCGCGCTTATTCAAAAGAATCTTCTGCGCAGAAATCAAATATCCGACAAAAGCATGAATTATCCAAAGACGTCGAGTGGAGTGCATGTGAACAGTTAGTCTTTTTTCTTTCTTACTCCGTTAATGGGCGTTCGAGGAGGTAAGAGCATCCCCTCTTTGGCGCGTAAGGCCATCATCAAAGCAGCTCGAGACGGAGACGACTACCAGGTTACAGCAAAAAACCTTGGTGTGAAACCTGACACCGCCTACCGCATTGTAAAGTCTCAAAGGGAAGAAACGCGGCCACGTGGGGGCCCAAGAAATAAGAAGTGTACCGAGCCTATGATAGAATTCATGGCATACCTGGTTGGGAGGGATGCTGACTTGACTTTGAAGCAAATCGCTGACGAAGTATCTCGTGAGTGGAACGTCGAGCTGAGTACAAGCACTGTTGCTCGAGCTTTGGAAGGTAGGCTTATCAGCATGAAGCAACTTCAGCTGATACCCGAAGCAAGAAACAGTGAAGTGAATAAGGTGAAGAGGCGTGATTTCGCTCAGTGGCTTCAGGTGAACGCTGGCCGATATCGTCTTGTCTGGATTGACGAGACAGGGTATAACTTGTATACCTGTAGATCTAAGGGTCGTTCGGCGAAAGGGCAACGAGCTAGGAAGACCTGCGCTAATCAGCGTGGGAAACACGTTACCCTTATCTGTGCTGTATGCAACGAGGGTGGGATCCTCGCTTGGCAGTCAATGCTAGGGGGATGTAAAAAGGAAGATTTCGAGGCTTTTCTACGTGATGTGCTTGACAAACTGGCCAACCAACCGGATGGTCGGCCTTTTTGCCTACTCTATGACAATGCTCCTTGTCATGCTACTGCTGACAACACATGCGACGCCCTGAACGTGGCCTATAAGAGAGTGAGCCCTTATTCATGTGCTTTAAATACGATAGAAAATTGCTTCTCGCCCTTGAAATCGGCCTTGAAGAGAATGATATCTGAGCACGGACAAGTTCAGCCACACGACGGAGAGTCTCTGCAAGAGGCCAGATCCCGTGTTCTTCTATCGTTCTGTCCCCAGGCTGTGGATGCGGTCACCGTGGCAACTGTTTCGAACAGCCTCGTTCACGTATTGACTTCCGAGGTTCCTAGAGCTCTCAATGGCGAGGACATGTGAATCACGAACGATGTGGTTGGCTGAGCCAACTTGGCTCTGTTCGAACTCTTTTTCCTATTTCCTGCTCATTTTAATGTGTCAGCTGTGGCTCGTATCGAGTCACGGAGTCATGTGGTCTTACATGAGTTTAATTGATTTAGTCGTTTTGAGTTGGTCGGATAATTCATGCTTTTGTCGGATATTTGATTTCTGCGCAGAAGATTCTTTTGAATAAGCGCGCGCCCGCGGATATTTGAATGTAGGCTATCGGATATTTGAATGACAGTCGGATATTTGGGATGCACGAATCGGGCGGATATTAGGATGACCCTAGTCGGAAATTTTCATGCGGTATATCGGATATTGCTTTTGACCGAGTCGGATAAATGGGTGCGGGTCGGAAATTGTTATGACGCATCGGATGTTCGCATGCAGTTAGTCGGAAATAACAGTGCGCAAGTCGGAAACATGACCGGGAAATGCTGTAGATTTCGCTACGAGAGGCTGCGAAGATCGGCTGATCATATCGTGAGCGGCACATTGTAGAGTCACTCAGTCGGATAATAGGTCAGTCGGTAACACCGACTGTCTTGCATCCACTGAAATTGTACCATTGTTCATCAACAGGAGTAAAATGCGTCTCAGTGGAGCTCTACAGTGTCGGGAGTGCAAAGCACCCCTCTGGTAGAACTGTCTTGTCCCCTCGGTCTTGTGTGACGCTATGAACAAGAGTGAGTACGTCATGTCGAGCACACGAAGTTGGGATCTAAGATGTGAATACTTCACAATTACTCCTCTCAGTTGATCTATTACACTTCATCAATGTGTTGTTGAGGGATACTTTGCTTCCACCTAGTCTTTTTAACCTTCCTACGAGGGAGGCTGGTAGCGGATAGCTCAAAGAGTCGTTGTAATCGAGCTACAAACCCACCAGTTTGCTGCCTTCAATGGCTAGTAGCGACTAGTTTCGCACTGCCAGGCACGGGCTCACCCAACTTCTTCGTAGAGGGACACCGCTTACCTGAATCATTGAGTTTCAGCCGTTCAGGGAGGATAACTGAAACTCAATCGCTCAAGCATATACTGATGTTGTTCTCATCACGCTAGGTGGAACGAACCGAGAATTCTACATGCGGAATAGGATGTACACCTTGGATAGGTACAGGAGGTCTTCAGTGAGAGCGGTCGTGTCTCACACTACGAGTCTCTTGGCCAGAGAATACTCTGGGAGTCACCGAATGGAATTGCACACTCGAGGGAGGCTCCCTAGTATTCATATGTGATACTGTCTAGTTCCTCCGTATCAACACAAGGATTGTACGCCCGAAGAACATGTGCACCTCTTGGCAGTATAGCTCAATATTTGTACCATCAACTTCCTGGCAACGAGTGAAGTTTGAGGCACAAATCGGAAACATAGTGATTATTCTCACTCGACTTCGTCATATCGAACTCGCATGAGGCCGATGGGCAATTCGGATTCGTCTTGATAGAGCAATCAGGTTCAGACCATCGATTTTCCATAGGACTTCCGTTCTCGTCGATTTCTCCTTGGAGCCTTGAGTTTCGTACCCTTGAAAAGATCGACCTCGCCGGTCAAACCTTCAATTTCGTGCGAACTGTGTCACTAGGAACAAGGACATAGAATCTCATTGAAACAATTCATACCAAGGTGATGTCACACGAAGTGATCGCAAAAGGTTGGATTGGTCATTGGATCGCTCGTTGATGATCACGCCTGGAGCTTATGTTAGAAGGGTACATTATGCTTAAACTGTATATGAACGAAAAGTTGAGTCAAAGAAGGATCATGTGAAAGAAATATTGAAAAGTCGGAGACCGGAATAATACGACTAAGAAAGTCTTTCCACGTCGTTGACGCTGGGGAAACGGATCACTCCCCTATGCGATGCATAGCTCTCTTTCATAGTCCGAACCGCACCATAGTGATAATCCGCCATACCCTCCCTATAGTTGTCATAACAGTGTTGGCACCACGCGATTAGTCCTTCATCGTAGGAGGTTAGGTTGAGATCACTTCGGTTATTGTCCCCTTGCAAAGCATTATAAAGAAGGTCAGTCCCGAAAGCGAATGTGCTACTCCTGTGACCAAAAAGTGAGAATACGGCTTCAAACGAAATAGTGAAAGCGAACGACTGCTGAATACTCTGCGCATATCGTAAGCAAAAGTATGGATTCTCACAGACCTGGGCGAAGGGAACCCTCTCGTTGATGTGGAATTTACCATCTTCGCTCACAATACCATCGTCGATGAACAACTCAACCAATGATGAATCGCAGAAGTCGATTTTCGCGGATAGGATTTCGACTTCCAGCCACACTGGTTTCTCTCGAACCATAATAGACAACGAGAAGTCGGCGTACTTGTTTGCACCAGAGGGAAGATGGAGGAAGTCTCGTGGAGGGTCATTCAACCATGTTGGTGTGGGGCCGGCGCTGAATCTCAGCAACTCCATATTCCATCTTGACACATTCCATTCGATAATGTACTCTTTTGTAGCCATGACGACCAGGTTAAAGAAGGCGTAACACATAATGCCCGCCATAATGAGCGCGGGAATCATCTGATATGCGTTACTCACAGCAGTCTGGAATTTCGAATGAGCTCTGTACGACGACGGCGACACACCCTCGTGAAGACGGCCAACACCAAGCCACTCCTGGGAGATTCTATCGTTGCAAAATGGAGGGGAAGACATAAAAAAGAAAGAATAAAGAGCTTATCCGAAATGGAACACTATCCCAGCTAATTCGAGGCTGCCCCAGGCGGCTCTGCGAACTATCAGTCCCCCATGCTCCCTGCGCGCGAGAGTATCACGATGACACTGTCAACGTGTTCCGCACTGCGGGGGCGCACAATCGCCAGAATTGGCACAATTCGATTGTGCGAACACGGTTCTCTCGTGAGAATACTCGCTGAGCATTTTTGCCAAGCCTGGTGACCATACCTGTGTGTAATGCAGGCCTTCATGTGGTCGTCACCTCACTTGCGAATCACTGGTGTAGGGATCGTTACCACTCACACGCTTTCGTCTAGACATAAACTCGCCTCGCGTTGGTGAATCATTCGAAGAATCAGACGACGTGTTACACGCAGTAGGGTGGTGGGATGGATATCAAAATTTGTGCGGATGTTTTATTGCTTGCCTTAGTAGTAGGCAGGATACTCCTATAAGGAAATTATGATTCTGCTTAGCAATTCTGCGCCAACGAGCACCCGACTGGAGACAATACTCAGATCGCAGTCGATTGAAGTAGGGAAACTTCGCGGGCCGACTGAGAGCATGTCACTCTCGGCCGGGAAGTCCCGGGTTGTTACAGTACGATACCGTCAGTATCCCACGCAGACATAAGCAGTCCGTGTAGGTTCGAGTCAGGGTGTCTTGCTTGAACGAATGGAAGACAGACTTAGTGGTGGATAATCGTGCTGACACAAGCTCGCTCTCCGATCATTCCTTAGCCATCGAGCCAGATAGGGATCCCATCATGGAATGCAGTCAGGAGATCTTCTACCAATGCCGTCATCGGGGAGTCCTCGGCAGAAGCAGCGCCAGTTCATCATAAGTTCCGCTGTTACGATTCGCCATCTTCCGACACTGAAATGTGGTGTAAAGCTGACGCTGGCGATGACCTCGCTGAGAGTGACTCCCTAGGTTGATGAACAATCTAGCAAGTGGGAATGACTTCCCTACGATTGATGTGCATCGAGGCTGGTCTAATTGGGTGCCATGGTAAGCGTTGAGCACTCAACTCACACGCGCACACGTGAGCCCAAATTGTTCCCGACCTCGGAGTTACACCCGTTTTACTTCAAGTGGCATAATACTCTACGTAAAGTATGCAATACTCACGAAATGTGGATTACGATATGAGTGAATTGGAATATTTTGCGACCTACACCCGACGAATCTAACAAAACGTAATTTAAGCAAACCAACACCCCATCACTATACGGGACAGTCTGTCGCACGTGGCACGAAGTTGTGCAACGCACAACTCAAGTTGGTGTTTCCACTACTACAACGAAAAGCTTAGTCGAGTTTCTTCTCTCTGCTCTGCTTGCACTATCTCTGGGGTTTTGGGTGTGCCATACTCCGATAACAGCAAGGATCATAACGCATGGTGGTTGATCAGAAGTTCTGATAACGAACTGTTTGTGTCTTACTACGACACTTCAGTTTACAGGATAACTGATAATTCGGGTGCTCGGGTTGTGTCTCGACTGCGGCGCAGTCACTGCGCAAGGAAAGCTCGCACATTTAAACAACATGCGTTAGATAATTGACGTATCGAAGCATGAGGCACCCAAAATCCCAGAGATAGTGCAAAGAGAGCAGAGGCAGGAGAAGTAAAGAAAAAAATTAACAGTTCAACTCGACTCAACTTTTTATTATAGTAGTTGAGGCTCAAGCTTGACCTGTGTGTTGCACAACTTTTCTCAACGTGGGACGGCGATGAGGTGTTAGTTTGCTCAAACTACGCTCACAGGTTACACCTGTGGCTTCCACAAAAAAATCGACTCCGCCATTCAAACCTTCAATTTCGTGCGAACTGTGTCACTATGAACGATGACATAAAATCTTATTGAAACAGCTCTTATCAATGTGATGTCATACAAGGTGATCGTGGAAGATTGACTGGTACATTAATCGCTCATTGATAATAGCGCCCGGAGCGAGGAGCTTATGCCAGAAGAGTACATTTTGGTTAGGTTGTACATGAACGAAAAGTCAGAAAAATGATCATGTGAAAGAAATATTGAAAAGTCGGAGACCAGAATAATACAACTACGGAGGAATACCCACGTCGTTGATGTTGGGGAAAAGAATCACCCCCCTATCCGACGCATAGCTCTCTCTCATGATCCGAACTGGACCATAGTGATAACCCGCCATGTGCTCCTTATAGTTGTCATAACAGTGCTGGCACCACGCGATTAGTCCTTCATCGTAGGAGGACAGACTGAGATACTCTCGGCGACTGTCTCCTTGCAAAGCATTATAGGAGAGATCAGCCTCCAAGGAAAATGGGTTACTCTTGTGACCAAAATGTGAGAATACGGCTTCAAAAGAAATAGTAAAGGCGAACGACTGCTGAATACCCTGCGCGTATCGTAAGCAGAAGTATGGATCCTCACAGACCTGGGCGAAGGGAACCCTCTCGTTGATGTGGAATTCACCATCTTCGCTCACAATACCATCGTCGATGAACAACTCAAGGTTGCCGACTCGGCAACCTTAGGTTGCTTCAAGTTGGTATACCAAATGAAATTAGTAGTTGGTGCTGTACGTAGCCCACCCAATGCGGTTATTGAAGTCAGTGTATTGCTGAGCCCGGGGGCCGCACCTACCGGGTAGGGTCCGACCTACACGTCCTACCACTCCTCGACCTCATCGTCGTCAGATCTTCTGAAGTGACGATAGTAGCACCGCGAACCTTCGTTTTCCCAGAGGATCGCTTCGCCTTCGGGGAGGCGTCTCGTGTTGTAACATGTGGATCACCGCCACCCGCTATCCGTCGAAGCTGCCTGTGCCTTTCAGGTCGTCACGAGTTGCATTGCCTCACCCACTGTGGGTGGCCGCTTTACTACCTGGCTTTTCGAATTGTTATTTCAGAGCCAACTCATGGTCTGTTCTGAGTGTAAATGCCCGTCGATGAGTTAGAAGTGAAGACGCCCCAGTTAGGGTCCTGACACCGTCTCGAGAGCCCGTTAGTGACGCGCCATCACACAGTACAGTGGTTCGTGGAGGCGAGACTAACGATTAGTCTATTTTTCCTCCTGAGATTAGCCACAAAGCTCAGGAGAAAAATAGGCTTGGGTGAGAGGATGGCCCAGTTCGAGGTTGTGCAGATGAGGTACGCGCATGGTATGGGATGACATTTTCTGAGTGCTGGTGGTCTCTTAGGTCGATCAGCGTCACATATGCAGGAGTGGCAAGCATCGTGAGCCAACCAGCCTTCACTTCCGAGAACGTAAGTCCTTTAGGTTGTGTGCTCTGGAATGAGCGACCACAGTCTTCGAGTTAGCGCTGGCGCAGAATTGATGATCATCTATATGCTAGGCTGTTGGTTTCCCGCAGTACGCTGCAGAAGATCTCACTGCAATCATATTCGAGTGAGGTCCGCGGCCTCCAACCTTGAATATGCTCGTCGACGAGTGTCCTCAGAATGTTGCTGACATGTGTAGAGTGTTGAACTTGACCGGGGTCGATGGTATATTCAGATTCGCCTGAGGTCGGTGGATAGCTCAGTTCGGTCACCAAATTTTGCTGTTGAAAGAGCTTTCAGGTTCGGACCATCCATTTCCGATAGAACTCTCGTTTTCGTCGAGTCCGCTTTGGAGTCTTGGACTTAGCACCCTCGAGAGAATAGACTCCGCCGATCAAACCTTCAATTTCGGGCAAACTGTGCCACTATAAACGATGACATGAAATCTTATTGAAACTGTTCGTATCGATGTGATGTCACGCGAGGTGATCATGAAAGATTGAATGGTTCATCTAATCGCTCGTTGATAATCTCGCCCGGAGCGAGGAGCTTGTGCTGTATATGAACGAAGAGTCGAAGTCAGAAAATGGTCATGTGAGAAATATTGAAAAGAGACCGGAATAATACGACTAAGAAAGTCTTTCCACGTCGTTGACGCTGGGGAAACGGATCACTCCCCTATGCGATGCATAGCTCTCTCTCATAGTCCGAACCGCACCATAGTGATAATCCGCCATACCCTCCCTATAGTTGTCATAACAGTGTTGGCACCACGCGATTAGTCCTTCATCGTAGGAGGTTAGGTTGAGATCACTTCGGTTATTGTCCCCTTGCAAAGCATCACAATAAAGATCTGTCTCAAGAGCGAATGTATCACTCCTGTGACCAAAAACTGACAAAACGGCTTCGAACGTAATTGTGAAAGTAAACGACTGCTGAATACTCTGCGCATATCGTAAGCAAAAGTATGGATTCTCACAGACTTGGCCGAAGGGAACCCTCTCGTTGATGTGGAATTTACCATCTTCGCTCACAATACCATCATCAATGTACAATTCAACCAATGATGAATCGCAGAAGTTGATTTTCGCGGATAGGATTTCGACTTCCAGCCACACTGGTTTCTCTCGAACCATAATAGACAACGAGAAGTCGGCGTACTTGTCTGCACCAGAGGGAAGATGGAGGAAGTCTCGTGGAGGGTCATTCAACCATGTTGGTGTGGGGCCGGCACTGAATTTCAGCAACTCCATATTCCATCTTGACACATTCCATTCGATAATGTATTCTTTTGTAGCCATGACGATCAGGTTGAAGAAGGCGTAACACATAATGCCCGCCATAATGAGCGCGGGAATCATCTGATATGCATTACTCACAGCAGTCTGGAGTTTCGAATGAGCTCTGTACGACGACGGCGACACACCCTCATGAAGCGGGGGATTTCCTGGGCAGCCAAAACCAAGCCACTCCTGGGAGATTCGACCGTTGAAAAATGAAGAAGACATGAAAAGTCTACAGAACTCATCCTAAATGGCACACCATACGAGCCTATTTTGGGACTCTCAATTCCTCAAGCTCCCACCGCGTGCGTGCTCATGCACGTGACACCGTCTAAAATCGTGACAGCGTCACTCACGTTGATCCTGCTCATGCCGAGGACTCCCCGAGGAGTGACATTCTCTCATCCGATGGAGGCCCACAGGACCTTCATACGACTCAGTATTGCCTTCGATCGGGTGCTCGTCAGCGCAGTCTTGCTGAGCACCATCGCGCTTTCTTTATGTTCTACGGTAGAACTTCTACCACTACTGAGGCTGGCAATACAACCTCCGCACAGGTGTTGATGACCACCCCTATTTCGGGTAACACATCGTCTGATTTTCCAGGTGATTCACCAACACAAGGCTGGGTGTTGGGCACCTGCTTTGCCCAAAGCTTCAACATATGCCATGATGGCATCAGCGCGCGCCAGGGGTGGGGGGCCCCCACTGGGGGCCCCTGAGAGAGCGCGCCCAAACCTTTCACGCAATCGCGCATGTGCGACCTGCCTATTGAATAGGGGGCTGCAAATGAAAAAGCTAAATTTAAATGGAAATCGGCTGATTATTTGTGTACACATAGATCTCTACGCTAATGGGTGCCCTCTCAAGTATAGTTGAAGCTGAAATCCTGTGACCAGAGATTGGTCTTGAAATGTTCGAATCCACATGTTGATGCGTGCATATGGCGATATAAGCGAACTCACGCTCCGGTGTAATGAATTTCATATTTTTGTATTCAACTAGTGTCTTTGGTTGCACATGCTCCATTCATCTAGAGCTTACATCTCATGCTGGAGACTCCAACGCTCCACCGTGGAATGTTGTGGATGGCCTGCGTTCGATACATGGCTCAAGTGCTATAACTCAATTGGTGTTGTTCAGTTCATACTGATTGGGTTTGCAATATGGAAAATGATGTATTAGGAGGTGGTAATATATGGGCAGTCATATACGGACGATAATATGCTACACAAACACTTTCCATCGACATAGCGTGATACATCGTTAGTTGAACCTCACATTGCGGCTTTCGTTCGAGCCGAAGGCTCGCGAAAACCGCCTCCTTTCCCCCTGACTAAGATACCCTTTGGGGGATAGATTCGCGATTCGCGGACCGCGAACATTCGTCATTGGAAACCTTCTTCCACGTGCTAGCTAACGAGTTTCTCTAAAGACTCTTTAGTAAAGAGGTTTAAAATAGTGTATCTGATGGGGCATACCGTATGTGAATTGATCACTAATGAGCAACTGAAATTTCCTGACTGAGGCCGATTCTCTCATTTTTCTGGCAGCAGGTCTACTTGTTTACGTCTAGACGATAAGGTGTAAGCGATAACGAACTCTACGCACGAACGATGTGACGACTACATGGCGGCACGTCATTGCGTGACGGGGGCGAGCGTTACACATCGAGACTTGACAAAAATGCACAATGAGTATTCGTTCTGAGACATATCTCGAAGGGTTTCATCGATGATGGAACCGTGACGGCCAGGAACAACAACCGTGTGTTAAGAAACCCGGCTAGCCAAGCCAGCCTAGCTTGCTAGCCAGGGGTATCAAAATGCTTCACCATACCAATCATGTTCTATCAAGAACATGGAGGTATCCAGTATTTCCTGTTCCATTTGTCGGATAGCGGTTCTGCGACCCGCATGGAGCTCGGCCACATTTCGTCACAGTTTGCATTAGCGTTCACCTCACAATCCCACTCAACCCACTAACCGAGGCTACGGGTGAGGGGTGGACTATGCCCGATATCTGGGCTAACTCAGCCTTAAAATAATATCAGTAACGCTTTAGTGTTAAAGACTCTCGCTGTGCTATTTGATGCGCGTCTTGGGTTGTGTACTTGCTGTGCGCAGCCAACCGCGTGACCTGTAGGCATGACTCATGCCGCATGAGGTTCGTGCCATGAACATTCACGAGGCAGGGAGGAGCGTCTCCACGAGTTCCTAGCTATCGTGATCGCCTTCAGGTTGGTCGCGGACAGTTCCCCGACTCCCGTAGTTAGAAGTTTCACCCTGCCGATTTTGTCATCTGTTCGACGTCTTCTCATGAAGTGTTCATGAATGTCCGCCTACACTCCACTTACGGTCAACACAACAATCATGGTATAAAAACCATTAAATAGCGACAAGCTACTTGAAGCGTATCTACTTGTACAATATCATGTTATCCCAAACACCTTCTTCAAACGGAGCACTAGCTCCCAGTCCTGTAGTTTAACACTGTCCTTGTGGTAAGCTTTTAAATAGTCGATGCTCTCTCTGGTGATGAAGGATACAATTTTGCTGTTTTCATCGAGGCCTCCACCGTTTCCAAGCCAGACGTTGTTCTGTGGTGTTGTCAGTCGGACCATAACAGTGTCACCAGCCGATGCTTCTTCAACGGCCTTCTCGTCATTGGTCGATTTCATCGACACAACTTTGCCAAGTTGAACTTGTTTACGACCAACCACACACAGAGGAGTGCCAACCCGCAGCACGCCCTCTTCCACACAGAGACCAAAGTGGAACGGAGGCTTACGCGAGAGCACTAGCGAGGGGACAATCGTCACAACGCAAGGGAATACAGCCATGGCCGCTTCCTCTTTGCGTCTGACAATGACACATAACGATAATTCATAATCATGATAAGCTCACCGATCCTCTTCTTTTCCCTGCAGATAGGTCTTCAACTCTTCAATTAATTTGTAAATAACATCATTCTCAATGATTCGAACCTGTCACGCCAGATGGAGATCCTTGAACACTGTCCTGTTACACTACACCGAGCTTCTCTGCCTCGGCTCGAGCATCATGATTCACCTTCACATCGTACGCCAGTATGATACCGTATTTACCACGATTCGCCAACACGCACGAAGTTTTCCGAACATCCAATAGATGGACCTACCACATGAACATCAGACGCTCAATGAGACGATAACTTCACATCGCCGATCGCTGCCAGTCCGATGGGAGCTCGAACGACTTCCTTCACCAACTTAGTGAGGGCCTCTACTCCACCCATTGAAGAGCACTTCATCGTAATTCCATTACCCGAACCAGCCATAGGACTCGTCACTGTGTTAGGTGCTGACAGTTATAGTTACTGTCTTTGAACAGTATCAGTTGCATTACAGAAGGCCTAGACCTAGTAGCATCATCAACAGTGACAGCAGTACCGGCTTGCACCTGAACCCACTCTTGTATTAACCACCGACAGGCCCTGAGCAACCCACGTTGTTAAGATTGGGTCCACTAATACGAACAGCCGTAGTCGCTGTAACAGTATGATGATAGTTGTATGCCACCGCACCAACACTCTGCAAGCGGAGTTCCCTGTGCACTCACGTCAAACACATTCTTTTTCACTAAGTTTCATTACTCCAAGGGTTTCGGCGTCACCAGTGCTCTGATGGTGCTCGCTATCCTTTCGTCGTTCTTGTTTCTCAAAATGATGTGATCGCCCTCATGTAAACCTGTCGAATCCTTCCTCAACAGCCACACTATCCTCTACTATACCCTACTCCCCTGCACTAGGATGACGTCCACACAGACTCCCATTCCCACAGTTTCGCGTACTTCCAACACACGACAAATAAGGGGACCAGGTTTCACTGCTAGCCGGTTGGGGAGGAAGCGTTGACAGAAGGTCGCCTGGAAAACCATCAACGTACATTCCATGATGTAGTCGTTCGCTACCAGTAACAGAATCAAATCAGAAACGCCCTCCCCTGTGAGTGCTGACACCGGCACCACCGAAATATCCTTTTTTTCGCCACGACCAAGTTCCCAATAAAGACCCGTATTCAGCCCTAGCTCGGCAAACTGAACCTGTGGATGATCGAATCAGCAACCGCTACTGCTGTTTCCAAGAGCAGTGTAGGAGTATACGTTTGCTTCCCTCAACTGAGCTCGTGAACTTTCCCGCGCCGAACATGGATGACGCAGGTTCGATCCCCACGAACGTCATTTCAAACGCAGTTAATTTTTTTAGCGGTTTTCGGAGCAGCTGCTGACTTTTTGCTGGTTTCATATTTTTCGCAAGGACAATGCGAAAAATATGAAAAAAAATGAAAATAAAGGGAATAACTTTCGAATGGTGGTTCGTATGTTTTTATATCTGTTCTGAATCGGGCTGGACAATTGCATACGCACGCACGCACAAAGTTATCGTGGAGTGAGAGAATACGCTCCGCTCGCTCCGCGATTGGAAAGAATTCAACAAAAATTTCCTCAGAATTTCCATAAACACGTAGTTGACTATGTACATATTTTCCCACACCGTCCAAGAGCGACTCACTCTAACTCTGGTCCAGCGCATGTGGAACTCGTCACTGGTACCACTCGCTTGCCTCTTCAACCCCTCTTGAACTGATCCACAAGTGGCCGCTCGCCACCCGTAGAGGCGATCAATCTGATAATGAAACAACTCCGAGCATAATTGTAGTTTCACCCTAGTTATATTCATAACATACAAAAATGGTAGTTTTTTACACGGGTGTTTTGACCTGGTTGAACCTCATGTATTGTAGTTTCACCCGTTTCACGTGAAGCGGCGTAAAACTCGGTGAAAAACCCGATATGCGCGGTGAAATGGAGTAGTCGTAAAATACGTTTCTCATATCACTACGGTGAAACTCCATTACTCTTCATCTGATACAAAAATTCGGTAATCGTATTTATGAAGTTTTATAATCTACCTTATACCATAATATCAACGAAAATCAGGATAAAAGTAATATTCCGCAGAGCAAGTCGAAATCAACAACAGTAGTGCTGACCTTGTTGAGAGCGATAACAAAGGGTCTTCGTTGCTCCTTGAGTAGCTCTATAGCCTCCCTAGTCTGCTTCTCAACACCGTGCATTATGTCAACCTACACATCCTAGCATCTCAACAGTGTAAATGCATCCTCCCTTACCACGACCACTCCCACATCGCATATCGAGCTTCCACGATGCCTTAGGCTATTGAAAGTCTCATGTCCGGGGGTGTCCAGCAGAAGGAGGCCAGGAATCTACACTTCCCAACACGTAAACATATCCTCACATTTCTCGTAAGCGCGTGATTCATTCATGACGAGAAAATTCATAATGTGGCGGCAAACTCTATTTCGCACATTTTCCGACTAACCTCAGTGTTACAAAACGAATGGTATATACCAACACTCACAAAAAATTTGAACATTTTATTATTTCCCTCCCATCTGCCAACACTGAGGTCCCCATTTAGTGTTGGAATATTCACTTTACAGTGCGAACCAAACCGTTATGCAAATCATCTTTTTTGAGGTAACTTGCTCAATAAGGAGAGTTTATCAATGATCTTTGGAAGGTGTACTGATAACGAGAGTGAAAACCGATTGACACCGTTTCAGAACCGTTTCATCATCCATTGTTATCGTATTATCTCAGCTAAGCTCAGAAACGATACAAGTAAAAGTGAAATTTCCCATTCGACCACAAGAGTGATCACCTCTAAGGCGTCCTCTTCAACGTTTTCCGACATACTCCGTATTGTTTCCCGAGGCAGCATAGTAGCGCCTATATGCTGTGATATACCTCCCGCTTCTCCTGATAGTAAACACTCAGTGTGGGGATATACACACATGGCCAACTACACTTGTTGGTGGCAGTATGAAAATTTCGAGGAAATTTCGGAAAATTTCCATACTGTTTCTAAATATTTTCACCCCATTTTTTATGCAAACTCTCATAATAAGTGCGCAAACTCCTAAACTCAATCGAAAAAAGCAAACATAAATTCTTTTTTACACATTCTCCGACTCCCCTCAGTGTGGTGAATAAAGTGTTTCATCAGCCATAACAAACTTGGGCGCCTTATCTTTTTCCTAGATTCTATCCCTGCTACCCCACATAGAGCCCTTTACCTTCTTGGACCTTAGAGCTCCTAATCCGATCCAGCAACTTAGTCTTTCCAGCGTCAGTATGGCCAAGGACACATATAACGGGGGCGCGCAGGGACGGCGAACCCTCATTCACTGTAGTGAAAATTATACGCAAACACACTAGTCGAGCCTATTACACTCAGTGGTGACCCCTCGACATGGTGACACCTTCCGAATTGGTGTCACCATCACCCCAGTTGTATCAGGAGAAGGAAGATCTATTAGCTCCCAGGAGTGCTGTGATGACCTTGAACAAAACCTCTCATGGGGAAACCAACCGACCGACCCGACTACCCCTGACTCGAGTCCTCCTCCTCCTCCCCTTCCGAGACGCCCTCACCCTGCACAGCGCTTGATTTCCGATTCGCCGTTTTCTTTTTCACACTATACCTACTGTGAGGAAATTTTGTACACAAGTGTCTCCTGTAATTTTAGACTCTTGTGATACTAGTCTCCCTTGCTAGCCTAGCGTATACTTTATGATTACTGTATTGATCATTAGTTAAGAATCACTTGTTAATAACTCTTGTTGAGTTATCTAATCCTAACACCTACAATCAGCATATATACATACGATACGGGGAAGTCGAAAAAGTGCAATATTTTTTCTCCTCGAAAAACCAAATTTGTGGCACATATGAACTATGGACTTTCACCCTAGTGATATGAAAAACATATATTTCACTACTACTGCATACCACCGCGAATATCGCGTTTTTTCTATACAAAATTCCATCGAAATTGGATCCTCTGTACATTGCGTGTACTCTAAGACATATACATTTTCCAACTACACACGAGCCCTCACCAAGCGACGCAAGGATCTATTACAAGGAACTCTGACTCCTAGCCCTGCCCTCCTTATGAGCCTCTCCCTGAACCAGACCAGAATCCTCGAGAAACGATCGATATCTGATGAATTTCTCACCGAACTAACATCAATCGATAAAAAACTTACTCTCGATCTCGCTCAGTCAAAGCGGCAGATTTGCTTGCCGACTTATTCTTCTTTTTCTTCTTACTGCGTTTTTCAACAGCAACACCAACAACAGTGGTGCTCTCCTCAGCTGGTTTCGCCCTATGGACCACCATATCATGTGAACGACTCTACAATAATCCTACTTTTCCCCTTCCACCACTTCCACAGCTCGACGACTTTCCTCTTCTTTTTCCCTTTGCTTCAGAAATGCTACCACAGCTTGTGCCGCTGCTGCTGCCGGGCAACTAGCCGCGCTCGATGAAGCCACCTGAGCTAACCATAATGCTGAGCCCAAGGGGAGCATAGGAAGACCTGCGGGACCGTCTGATCTTTGTTTTTCTGTTTTCGTTTCTTTTCTTTTTTCCTCACAGAGAGCTGACCTGAAAGCTCCTTCGTCACAGATGCCGTTGACATTATCACGAATACGACTACAATGGAGCTCCACCCTAGTGATATGAAAAACACTAGTGAAAAATATATTCCACGACTACTGTATATCACCGCGAATATCGCCTTTTCACAGAGTATTACGTCACTTCACGTAAAACGGGTGAAACTCCATTGAAGTCGGAAAATATCACACCAACGATAGGCGCCTAAGCATAATCGTAACAGTACTATTCCCAACGATTAACCATCAGTATGTAGTAGATCCCCTATACAGTGCGTTGACAATACTCCACATACTATTGAAAGAAACCCAACTCCAACACATAATGAGAAATCCACTTTAATGGTAAATATTCAGTCGCTCTCATCTTCGATCGTCGTTGGAGTAACGCGGGGCTGAACCGGACGTTTTTCCCCAGCAAATTCCTCCTCCTCCTCTTCCTCCTCAACTGAGTCGTCCGGACTTGTCGAGGATGGAGTTCCTTCTGCTGGTGTGCTCAGATGCTCCCGATGCTCACCGCGTTGTGCCAACAACCTTGTCTCGAGGTTCTTCCATTTCGTCTGAAAAAAAGCCATTTTCTCCAATCAGAATCACTCAAGCCCGTATAAAATGGGAATCGCAAAGTGTTTACGACTTTTGGGAAAAAGACGACTTCCCCTATGTCCTCCAAAAATAACACTACTACTCCTCCGTAGAGTAGTAGTGTTTTTCTATTGGTAGAATTTCCTCGAATTCTTCCATTGAACTTAGTATATCATACTGCTGATCATCATTGAATACTTCAATTTTCATCTTCTCGTGATGATGACAGCATAAAAATTTCGAGCAGATTTTACAAACTTCTCATTCGTTTCGATACACTTCTACGCTAAGTCTTGTGTGAACTGCTCAACTCAGCTGAGGAAAGCGAACGTATATTCCCAACACTGATCTTGTCGAGATAACGTGGGAGAAGAGAACCGACTCTATTCCTCGCCTCTATTTTCTCACCCGAATTTCGTTGCACGTGAGCTCCTTCCAAAGTAATATACTCTTCCCTCCCCCTCGTGTGGGGACCAGACCACCAGCACAGCCCGTGAGTTCATCGACGTCCTCCGGGTTGCAGACCTCCTCATTAGCCTCTGCGGTCTCGCGTTCATCATCATCGTCGGGCGTCTGATCAGACAAGACAATCGTGACGACGGAGCGACGCCCAGTCTAAAGTTTTATGAAATATTCTCCGCAAAACCCCAAAAGCGTCAGTCAACTATTTCAGTGTGTTAAAATATGCACAGGATCACCTACGTGTGTTAGTGACAATATGAAACTTCTGAGAAAATTTTGAGAAATTCTTGGAACCCGAACTCGTATATAAAATTCTACAATTAGTGAGGAAACTCTTGAGCTCAGCTGAGGGAACCCAACACTATCAGACTCTCAGAGTGTGTTATACCATGTATATTCGACTACCAGTTCGGCCAACAGGTGGAATTTGATCACTTCGCAAAATAATCAAAAAATCGTATAAACATATGTAAGTTTCCGGAAACGTACAGGAGCATCTAAACAAGAGTTAAACCCCAACCCAAACTCACCTCTGGTGGAGAGGGCGTTTCCACTTTCAGTGTCTTTGAGTTGCCCGACTTCTTCCCAGTAGTGGACCCCGATAGAGACATCCGTATGGCGCCCATGGCCGCACCCGCAAGATTCCGGGCTCGGACCGCCAAGATATGATTCGTGCCGTTGAACAGTCGAGCGTTGTAAGCAATTCGAGCAAAGTGCCGCTCAACCTCATGGAGGGAGCTGTACTGTCGACGGCCTAGCAACAATCCAATACAGCCTAATGGTTAGAACCCAAGACTGTCATCCCAGAGGTCGTCGGATCCATCCTCAGGTCAGTCATTTACCCACCTGCTAGATCTCTTATATCATCGAGTCCTATGGCCTTCTCCACAACCTGCGTATACTCCGTTCCTGTAGGAGCATAGTAAAAGTCGGCAAAGGCAGGATTCTGCATCAAGTCTTGAGCGATCTTCAGCACGACATGATTCAGTCGATGCTTTCGTTTCTTCAACTCCGACAGCACGGGATCATGGCTGGCCTTCACATGCCCAGAGGACTTCCGTTTCTCCCCACCCTCGAGTTGGCGTTTCCGCTGCCTTGCCAAGGATCTTATATTCCACTCGCCATCAAACGCCTGAGATAAAACGCCGACCCTGGGAATCGAACCAGGGACCTTTCGATTACCCACTCACCTCATGATAGTATTGCTTCCACAGATTGATATGCTTTTCCTTCTCCGCTTTCTCACTATCTGTCATTGTCCCGAACCATGCCTTATTCCGAGAGCTCGACGAGTAACCATACAGCTGAGGCGGCAAAATGATATCTGAAATCAACTACTATTTCTGGCGAAGA